GGTCAGGCCTGGCTGGGCTGTGGCAACAGGCGGCGGTTTCGGGAGGCTCTGCCCTGGCGGAGGTGCCGGCTGTGTCACCACGACGGGCACTGGTTTGGAGGGGCTCTGGCACGGCGGAGCGGCCGCCTGTGCTGTTGTGACGGGTGTTGGTTTCGACTGGCTCTGGGGAAGGGGGCTTGCCGATTTCACCTCGACGGTGGGCGCTGGTTTTGTGAGGCTCTGCTGCGACGGGGTTCCCGATTTCATCTCGACAACAGGCATTGCTTTGGGCAGGCTCTGCTGTGACGGTGTTGCCAATCTTGCCTCGACAACAGGCATTGCTTTGGGCAGGCTCTGCTGTGACGGTGTTGCGGATTTCACCTCGACAACAGGCACTGCATTTGGGAGGCTCTGCTCTGACGGTGTTGCTGACTTCACCTCGACAACAGGCATTGCTTTGGGCAAGCTCTGCTGCGACGGTGTGGCCGATTTCACCTCATCGGGCGTTGCCTTTGGTGGGCTCTGCTGCGACGGTGTGGCCGATTTCACCTCATCAGGCGTTGCCTTTGGCGGACTCTGCTGCGACGGCGTTGCTGACTTCACCTCATCAGGCGTTGCCTTTGGCGGACTCTGCTGTGACGGCGTTGCTGACTTCACCTCGACAACGGGCATTGCTTTGGGCAGGCTCTGCTGTGACGCTGTTGCCAATCTCGGCTCGACAACAGGCATGGCCTTGGGCAGGCTCGGCTGCGACGGTGTTGCCAATCTTGGCTCAACAACAGGCATGGCCTTAGGCAAGCTCTGCTGAGACGGCGTTGCCACTCTCGCCTCGACAACAGGCATGGCCTTGGGCAGGCTCGGCTGCGACGGTGTTGCCAATCTTGGCTCGACAACAGGCATGGCCTTCGGCAGGCTCGGTTGTGATGGTGTTGCAGATTTCACCTCGACAACAGGCATTGCCTTTGGCAAGGTCTGCGGTGACGGTGTCGCCGATTTCACCTCGACAACAGGCATGGCCTTGGGCAGGCTCTGCTGTGACGGTGTTGCCAATCTTGGCTCGACAACAGGCATCGCCTTCGGTAGGCTCGGCTGCGACGGTGTTGCTGGTTTTAAGTCAACAACAGGCATTGCTTTAGGCAGGCTCGGCTGCGACGGTGTGGCCGATTTCAAGTCAACAACAGGCATTGCTTTAGGCAGGCTCGGCTGCGATGGAGTTGCCGATTTCACCTCGACAACAGGCATTGCCTTTGGCAAGGTCTGCGGTGACGGTGTCGCCGATTTCACCTCGACAACAGGCATGGCCTTGGGCAGGCTCAGCTGTGATGGTGTTGCCAATCTTGGCTCAACAACAGGCATGGCCTTTGGCAGGCTCGGCTGCGACTG